GACAGAAGCTCACTCCAAAGAAGGAATAGTAAAGAGAACAAAGACGAAGTTTCTGAACCCTAGCAAAGGTGCCTTAGTATTCAGAATTTAAGAAATTTTATTTTGCCACGTCTTTACTCTTGAAAGTCAGTAGTCTTTTGCAAGCAATTTCTTGTCGAGAACACAGCTAGACTGTATCATTATCCTCCCTTGCCGTGAGAGGTAGTTGTCTGGGTTCTGGAAGAAATAAAGTTTGCTGCTTCCAGGCCTGTCCCACAAACCTCCTGTCTTCTCCCTCACCCTTCTTATCTGCTGCCCAGATATAAGGGATCCAGCAGAAGTCTCTAAGGACCAAGAGAACAGAGCCAGCAGGTGAAAGGAATATGAGTCCTGAGTGACTGTGTGGAGCAGAGCTTCCTCAGCAACCTGCATTGCGTGGTGACCAGAGGGAGAGACTTTCACGGGGATTTCTTGAAGCAGTTAGCTTACCCTGCCCATGGGCTGTGGCATCATGCTCTTTCTCCTGCCTTGCCAGCATCTTCTTTGTCTTCTTCCTGAATCCTCGTGTTTTCATCACCTAAGCGAACTTGCCTCCCAAGAGTTAAAGCTCTTGTGGCTACTGGCCTCTAGATCAGTAGGTGGCCCTAGGTCCTGACCCCCCCTTTGAGTTCCAGGCTCTTCTCTTGTCTGCTTAACTTCCTCTCCTACAGCTGTCTACCACTGTAAACTCTTCTCACCTAAATGTTATCTTCCTTCCCAAACAGGCTCTCTTCTAACTTAGCATTCAGTGTCTCTCTCACTGGCCCCTGGCTTCTAATCAGGTTGGCCTTCGCCCACCTCCATGTGTTCTGTTTCCTCCTTTTGCCACCAGGCAGGGAATAGGGTTCCCTTCTTGTCTCGGCCCCAAAACTTCAGTCTCTCAGCTGGGCAGTGGCGGCCAAGCCTTCTCGTAAATGCCAGCTCCCAGGTTGCCATTGTGTGGACTTTTGCAATAGCTACTTGTTTTTAATTCCACACCAGCAGAATTCGGTGTCTTCTACCCTGAGCTCAGAGATGGTGACAGTGAAGTAGCCAGAGTGGAGGGTCATCCTGGATAGGGAATCCAGACACTGGCCAGAACCTGGGCCTGGTGGCTAATAAGGTAGAATGGCAAGTTCCTGCCCTACACCAAATTTTCACCTTGTTTAAATCTTGCAGGGACCAGGACAGGCATCTCACAGAGATTGTTTCGTTCTCCAGGCCCTGCAGAAACACTGGCCTGTATCTACAGGATCCTCAGAATAAACCCTAGGGTCAGGGAGTCCCCAGATGTCTCTATAGAGCTGTGAAATAAGGCTTCCTCTTCAGGGACCCTCTTCATCTCTATATCCAGAATGAGCCCCAGGGCCAGCCTCTGGCCACAGCGCCAGCTTGCCCCTGCCCTCTGCTGCACAAAACCCCCTTCCTATCCCCTCTCCCTCTTACCTCCCCTATTCCCTTCCCTCTGTCTCCTCTCCTACCCCTCACCTGAGACCAGGAACATCAGGACAGGTGGCAGCTGGTGTGCGGCCTCCCAGGCCTTGGGCTCTCTTCTTGAGCTGGGCAGGGGGAGGGTGGTGAGAGAAAAGCCCACCAAGGAGAGGGAGCCAAAGGACAGATTCCGTGCAGACCCCTCTAATTCCAGCCTGCCCAGAGGGAAGCTGAGGAAGGCAAAAGCTTCTGCTGAAGATGCAGTGGTGCTGGGAAGGAGCAGGAGGCATGGTCTCCCAGGAAACCTCTACATGCAGATGTTACACCTGGACATGGAACAGCTTCCATGATGGGACATCACCAAGATGGGGGAGCCCTGTAGATACTGCTCGGCTCTTGTGCCCAGCTGCCTTTCTCTGCCAGGCACATCTGCCTCTCTGTGATGGGGAAGCTGCGACAGCCCAGGAAGAAACTCTGGTGAAATTAGGAACTATTTTTCCTTCCTCTTTCTCCCTTCTATTCTTCCACTTCCTCCCCAGCCTCAACTTCTCCTCCCCGCCAAGTAAAGCACAGGCTGGAGGTGAGTGAGTTAGGAGACCTTCTGGAGGGCTTCAGTGGTCAGAGGCAACCTGCCCAGGCCTGCCGAGAATCGTGGACATCCTGGGGGGGGAGGAGGCCATGCAGATGAAGAGGCATCTCTAGGCATGGAGGCAGAGGAAAGGCCCTTGGTGGGGTGAGGGAATGTGACATCAGAGGGGAGGGAGGGCGGTCAGACAGGTGCAGAGGGTGAGGACACAGTCACTCCTGTGTCCCCAGTTCCCTGCCTGCCCTGAGCTCTTCTTGACCACCCTAACTAAACACTGAAAAAATAATTAGCATTGGATGAGCTACAGAAAAACACTTGGCACAGGCTGTTTCTAGTTAATAAACAAGGAAAGGACAAACTGGTAAGCATGAGGTGTGGCAGGTGGGGTGTGGGGGGACAGACTCTGGTGTGATTAGCACAGGAGGTTTCTAGTGCTCAGGACCCCAACGCTGAAGGAAGGCCTGGCTGCCCGCGGCCAAGGAATCTCAGGTCACCTGCGACCTTCAAGATTTGTCTAGGGAACCAAGGGATTGCCAGGTCTTCAAAACCCTTGTGACCCGGCCAAGGGCTGCCTGAGACGTCAGCCCTGGGCCTCCTCACTGCCCCCAGCCGCGGGCACAGACCTCTGAGCCCTGAAGGAGCTGGGCAGCGGGGTCTGGTGGCCACCGTCCCTGTGTGATCTTCAAAGTCACTCGGGAGCCCTGGGTGCTTCTGGCTCATGCACTGGCCTCGTTGGGGGGACATGTCCCACAGCGTCACTTCCTCCACGTGCAACGGCACAGGTCCAAGCGTTGGGGTCTTTCTTTGGTCTGTCCCAGGGTTGTGACAGGAAACCCTTCTCAGGTGTGCTCGTCATCACCACCTGTCACTCAGGAAGCTCGAGGTCTCCCCAGCATGTGACAGCAGCCCTGGCCTGCCTGATGCCCCCACCTGCCCTGCCTGCCAGGGCTCTGGGAAGGAGAACAGGAGGGACGAGGCCGGGGGCTTGAGGGGGAAGATCCTATGGACCTGGATGTCCAAAGATGCCCCCCAGGCCCCAGGAGCTGGGGGGCTAGGGCATGGGGTCTGGGCCTCCCATGCCGGCTCCATGGAGCTCACCAGGAAGCAGGTCCCTGGGTCCTGGGCAAACAGGACCTGCTGGCCACCGGAACAGCTGCCGTACCTGACACTGGACACAGCAATGGGCTCTGGGGCCTCCGTCCTGCCAACTCAGGGAAAAGCCAGGGAAACGGGGTCTGAAGGCCCTAAATGTAGAACGTGACCACCGCCACAAGAGCCAGACAAGACGCTGAGCCCCGGCAGTCATGAACATGTACCATATTGCATCAGGTTCGTGTTATTTCATTTTATCCTGAAAAGTCTTCAGAGGTAGATATTAGTGTTCTCCTTCACAAGAGAGGAAAGGAGGCTGACAGGTTAGTGACCTGCCAAGGGTCACTCAGTGGGAGCGGACACCCCGGGTCTCTGACCTGCAGACTACGGTTGTGGGATGATAGATTGAGGTGAGCTCTTGGGGGGCTCTTCCCCCCCAGGATGGCTTAGCATCCCCCTAGTTGCACATCAAAGAGGTGGTGACACCCTCCTGATGGGGAAGGCAGATGTCACTCTGTGTGTGTGTTTATGTAAGAGAGAGAGGAACAGGCCTGCCCCTTCCTCAATCAGAGTCTTCCCCAGGACATAGGGGACAGCAGTCTCCTCTCTGCTGTCCTGCAGGATTAGCCCCGCCCCTTTCTCTCTCCCTTGTCCATCCTGGAGTGGCCCTCACCACTGCCCACCTGGGTGATGTTACCCTCCTCACTATGAATTTGCCCTCCTGCCTGGGAGGTCTCTGACCCCAGCAGAGAGTGGCATCTCCACACTAATCCCCAGGGGCTTGTCCAGCCCCTTGAGGCTGGGAGGGGGCCCTCTCCAGAGGAGGAATCTGGTCCCTATTCTCTGCAAAAAGTCCGAATCTAAGCCACCAGCTGGCAAGGTGGCAGATGTGGGAGGGGCACCTGGCTTAGGCTTCTCCGCAGCACCCTCAACCCCCAACCCCGTACTCCTGTAGGCTGTTTGCTGTGTCACGAGTGGGTCCTTTCTTCCCAGCAGAGAATGAGCCCCCTGCAGTGGGGGCTGAGGGGAGATCCACTCTCTCTCTGAGCTATGGCCACTCCCCCGCCCCGGTAGACTCCGGAGGCCCCAGTCCCCTGTGGGATCTCAGACCTGGACCCTAGGTATGGGAACTGAGGGAGACATCCCTGAGGTCAGCCTCTGCTCCCCAGTCTGGGGACAGGCTGGTCCTGTAGTTGAGCTCTCAGTGGGGGGACACGACTTTCCCTAGAGGGGCCATGGTGGGAGTGTGGGCTCTGCTGGCTCCCGGGCCTGAGGGACAAGCAGCTGCAGTCTGGGAATACCAGAGCCCCTATGAGGACATATGGCTGGGAGAGAGGGAGGAATTAGACATTTCTGGGGCCCTCTGCTAACAATGCTTCTTGGACCCCAAGCTCTTAGTCATTGTTTCTCTCCTCCAGGAGGTCTTGGGACATCAGCTGCCACTGGTGTTCCTTCACCAAGCACATGGGAAACTCGAGGGGAGCAGCAGAAGGCTGAGGTCACAGGGTGGGGACCTCACCTTCCCCTCCCCTCAGCCCAGCAGCGACGGGGTCACAGTCCCTGTCACATGCTCACCGGAGCTGAGGTCCTCTGTAAACGGCACCTTAGGGGCTCCCTCCACCCAGGGGCTTGGGGCTGTGGCTCTGAGTAGAACTCCCTTGGTGGCTTCCCCTGAGACTTCCTGTCAGGTGCCTTCTGCTCTCGGTCCCTCCCCAAGTTCCGAGCAACCTAGGGGAACTGAGCAGGTAAGAGCTGCCTTGGTTCTGGGAAGGCTGAGTCCAGCATTGCACAAATCCTCACCCCGAATCTGGCCCCAATCCAGACAGGCCCCTCTTCACTCCTCCTCGGCCCCCTGGGCCCGCCGGGAGAAGCCCCCGGCACATAGCTAAGTGGCCTAGGACCACGCAGGATTCCACAGTGGCTCTGGTCTTCTGGGTAGGTCCTTCCAGGGTCTAGCAGGGTTGCTGCAGATGCTGTAGCCTGCATGGGCCAGGGGAGAGATGAGGAAGGGCCGGCCCCTATCCACTGCTCCTGAGCCCCTGGCCAGCCCCAGCCCCTCTTCTGCCTCACACCCCCCTTCAACCAGGGCAGCCCCTGAGGGTTCTGCTATGCTGCCCCTCCTGCCCACCCGCCTCCCTAATCTGGGTGCATCTTGATCACCCGACTGGACATAGGTAAGGACACAGCGCCTGGAGAACAAATACTGCCAGACCCTTTGGAAGGTCTGTCCAGCCCTCCCGCCACGCTCATGCTCTGCCCTCAGGAGGTGGGGGTGGGGGTGCCTACTCACTTCCCATGTGTCTCTTCTTCCAGGACCCATAACCCACGATCAGCACCGCAAGCAACAGAAGGAACCCAAACACCAGCACCACAAACACCACAACTAGGTAAGGATCCTGGGGCCTGAGGAGACAGGAGCGGGGAGGAGGAGGTGAGTGCAGATACACACCCCCCTGTATGCAACTGGAAGAGGAGCTGCACAAGGGAAGACGTTGACAGCTCCCTGCCGAGTGAGGGCCTCTCTTCTGGGGGACCCAGCTGTGGGAGCTGCTCAGAGCTGAGGGGGGAAGACCCCATGACAGCAGCTCTCATCCCTGCTCCCTCGTGTCTGCTCATGGCTGAGGACAGGTCTGCTTGAGGGACCCCCATTTGTAACAGAAGAGACCAAGTCTCTGAGGCTGGCTCTTCCCACTTCGTCCTCTGTCGCAGATGCCACAATGCCACCGACGTGCCCCTGCTCTCAGTCAGCCTTCACCCCTCTGTCCTAGTCCTCTGACTGTCCCTTGTCACTGCCACCCCCTCGGCCCCATGTGGCAGGCAGCTCTCTACCAGCAAGAGTGGGTGTCTGCATACCCCGCTCCTGGGCCCTTCAGGGAGCTATTTCTCATGGGACCTCAGAGTTCCCTCGATGGAATTGGATTCTTTCTGCCCACAGATGCGTCCGACTTGATGAAGTAACCCACTGGTGTCCCCCCCCTCCCACAGCTGTCGTCAGTATTCCAAATAAGACTCGATGCCTCATCTCAGAGTCTGCTTCTGGGGGAACCCAAAATTAAAGCATGCCTCCTGTTCCTTAAGCTGTCATTCTTGTCCTGTTTCTCCCTTTCCCTCCCCACTCACAGACCCTCATGTCGCCCCATCCTGCCACTCATTTCCCACTGCCATCCTTTATGTCACACTGTTCCGGCTTCCAGTGCCGGGCCCCCCCATTCCACAACAGACCAGACTGAAGTCCCAGGGCATCTCAGGGGCAGTCTGGCATGGCATTTGCACACTGAGGTCTGCGCAGACCCCAGCAACTGGTATCTGGTAAAGTGTATTCAACTCCAGGACCCCAGGGTACCTGATGGGGGATAATTCGTTGAGGAGAGATCTGCTGGTGTGGCACATCCCCGCAGTGGGCGATCCGGTGCGCAGGCGCCCAGCCTCGGTGGGGGTAGGCATCGGGGCAGCATGGCTAGGAGATGCTGTCTGGGACTCTGTAGTCCTGCTGGGCCCCGTGGGGGAGGTGCCGGTGCTAGTGAAGCTATAGCCTGTCATGGAACTCAGCCTGATGGTCCCGAAAGTAGTGGAAGGCCAGAGTCTGGCCAACGTGAAGAGTCCTGGTTTGAACACCGGCTCACTGGTCAGGGGTTGGTCCGTCGTGATGTCCGTTGTGATGACAACGTCACTCTTAAGGATGTTGGCCAGGTGTGTGAGTGGAGTGTTTCTCTTGGTTGTGGGGGCTGAGGGTCCAAAGAGAGAGAAGCATAAGAACAACTGGGGGGCTTGCTGGGAGCAGATCTTGGTGCCCCACACTTGGCTGAGATGGAAACAGTCCTTGTCCTTCTTTCTGAACTTTGGACCTGGGATTCTGTTGAGTGACTGTCCCCAGGCCGAATAACCCTAAGTTCCTCATCCTTACTCTGCTCATCCTTGCCCTGTCCTGGTTTATCTTTGTTTTAGCAGAAGCCCCTCATCCTTGCTCTGTTCCTGAATACAAAACCATAGCAAACCAGGCAAAACAGGTTGAGACTAAGATGGGGTTAAAACTAAAACACAGGTTAAGTGACCTTCTTTACGGTAGTAAAAACATGCCCACCCACTCCAGACTCAGTCAGGACCCACTGAGAAGTGAAAGGTGGTGAATGCAATTCCTGGTAACACACCCTGCACTCCCCACCCCACCATGATTCTCTGAAGTTCTGCTAACAGCGCCCCTGTCACTTCTCCCCCTTGTCAGTACCCACCCCCCATGTAAGCTCCTGCCTCTCCCCCACTTGGGGAGAAGACTGTTAGAGCATGAGTAAAACCTCTGGCGCTTGGACCTTGATTCGCGTCTTTCCTGGGCTTGTGAGGGTGTTGCATGGGTAAAAGAACCCCCATTGTTCAATATCATGATCCGGTGTGTGTGTGTTCAGAGGTGATATCAGGGAAGTAGAAATGGACACAGAAAAGAAAGAGGAGACTCATATTTTTTTGAGCCTTCCCTGTCCCCACATGGGCTCAGGGGACATTCCTCTCCCCAGCTTAGCTCTCATCACCTCAAGACCTGCTTCATTTCTATGGATCAAAAAAGATTTCTGTACATCAAAACATTGAAAAGGTGTTGAATGGGGACTTTTCTAGTTGTTCATAGTAAGTGACTGGGATCCAGAAATGAGGACAAGGAGGCCACCCAGGATCCCAATTCCAAACAGCACCAAAAGTGACAGGTCACATGACTTCTTTGGGAACACAGACAGAGAATCCAAGCTGGTGCTGATAACCTCATCCATCCACCTAGCCCTTGCCATGCCATTTTGTAGAAGAAGATTAATGTCTGAATGGTGCAAGAGGAAGGAGTGGTAGGAGTTATGGGGGTTTCAATTGAGGGGCAGTGTTGAGCCCATCATGTCTGAGAATAAGAAATTGGACAGAGATGGTAGGAGATCGCAGGAGCGATGGCATCACACAAGTGTGCCTGGCAAGGATGCTTTCCTGAGGGCCTGTCTTCCTGAGCAGGAGAACCCAGAACAGTGGTGGGGTGAGGGTAGGGAAAGAGGTTGACCTAGATGCAAGTCTTCTACATCATCCTACTCAAGAGTGGAGATGCCCTCAAAGCCCTCCCTCCCCCCACAAAGAACTCATATAAAGGTGAAGAGTGGAGATGCCCTCAAAACCCCCCTCCCCCCGCAAAGAACTCATGTAAAGGTGAAGAGTGGAGATGCCCTCAAA